TCGCCAGACAGACAGAGAGAGACAGAGAGACAGAAAGCAAGAAATCACCCCCCAGGGGGGATGGTCACAACGCAATCCCTTCTCCTCCATTCTCCTCTCAGGATTTTGGGCATGGACGCACACGCGCCCAGTGTGAGTTCTAAGCCACCGGGTCCAGTATGTGAACTGTGGTCGACTACGTGGGAATCCAGCGACATAGCCATTACTCTAACTGCCGGTTCCCTAAGCTTGAGTTTTGATTCTACCACTGAAAATCTGTGTGAACCAAGCTATCTTAATAAAATTTCTCTGTATGTCAATTTTCTCATCTATAACTAGAAACAATAGTTTCTTCCTTAGAATGGAACACAAAGCATAGATAAGACAATACACATAAAAATTTCAAAATTCTGAAGACATATTTATCTTGTTACTACCAATATAAAAGTAATTTCATTTTATTGTTTCTATTTCCACATAACCTTTGCATCTAGATCCTTTGCATCTAGATCCTTTGCCTAGATACTTTCACTTTCTCTTAGATTGTGCTAAGTGCTGCTTAAGCACCTCATCTTATCTCTTCGCCCTCCTCTCTCTGAATCTTTCCATTCAATATTTGATTAAACAAACTCTTACTATTCCTTTCTGCAGAACTTTTACTTATTACTTATCCATATTTATCTATTGATTATCTATGTATATATCAGCATGTAAATCTATATCTACCTAGTCATTAAGTATATCATAGCACCCATTGATCGACTACCCAACCAATAGGACTTTAGTAATAATGTGTAACAACCACATGGCTTCTTGACTCCTTTCCCTGAGTCTCACCTCTTGAATATTCCCTCATTCTGAATCTTATGTTCGTCTTTCCCTTGCTTTTGCTTTTAATGCACTTTTATTGTCATCTCTGTCTATTCCCAGAGTGTATATTTTGACTGTTTATAACCAATGAAATGTTATAATAACAATAATTTAGTGTTTACAGTTTTTAAACTTAAAAGTATGTTGCTAAGATTAATCAAACTGTTACATTGCCATTCATTAAAAAAAAAAAAGTATTTCTCTACTGAGTTGTATGATTAATCCTCATTACCAAAGACATTGTGTTGCTACTACACAATGGGGGACAAGAGGTCTATTTCTCAGGGTATGTATGGGTGACCTTAGTGACTTATTATTTCCATACCTACTAAAGATAAATAGCAATTAAATTTAAAAAATAAGGTACTAGCATTGAGGATACAGATACTCAAAAATAAATGTTTGAGTTACCTCACCTCACCACTTGAGAACTAAGTGCTAGTTCTATCAACTCCCCTCATAGGTATGAGCATCCCTAGATTCTTTTTTCTTTTTTATTAATTAATTTATTTATTATCATCATAATCTTGTTTATATTACATTGAATCACATTTAACTTTATATTATATTGCATCTCTTTTTCCAGAAGGAATACCATGCATATCATTCAATACAAAGACATTAAAATCTCCATTTCATCATTCAATAGCTTCTCATTTTTTCCTCTTATTATTATTATTCCAATTATTTTTTATTATTTTTTCCTCTTAATATTATTATTCCAGTTTTTAAACAGTCAGTCACTATTTATCATTTTGCTTGTAAAAAGTTTATAACCAACATGAAATACTTCTCAGACCAATCCAGTTGAGAATACTATACACTTCATCATCAACAGGTAATCAACCATATCTGCATTCCACTAATGTCATGCCTCTCTATTTGTTCTCTTGCTATCTTTCTCCATACTCTTGTCTTCTCCCGCCCCATTCCAAACTGTCTTCTCCTCATGGACTATTTTCACTCCTTTTATGTCCTTCAGTATTTTGATCTCTACAATAGAGTGTGGCTAGCCAGTATATATTAAATGGATACATACAATATCTTTCTTTCATATCTTGGCTTACTTCACTCAGCAATAGATCCTCCATATCCGACCACTTTCTATCAAATGCCAGAATCTTGCTGTTTTTTTATGACTGAATAGTATTCCATACAGTATATGTCCCACACTTTTTCTTTTTCTTTTCTTTTTTTTTTTGAGAGATTTTCACTATAGGACGCGTGCGCTTGCCAGACAGACAGAGAGAGACATAGAGACAGAAAGCAAGAAATCACCCCCCAGGGGGGATGGTCACGCCGCA